CTATTCGATTTTAACCGCCCTTCTTAAAATCAGTCAGCCAATCGTTATGCTAGAAATATGCTACCACCTCCTCAAAAAATGTAATGCGACCGGAGGAGGAATTCTGTAATTTTTCTGTAAGTCAGTCACTCTCCGTCTCTCGATAATTTAACACGTCTCTCGTCAGCCTTCACCATCATCTCTGTAACAGTTACCCTTATTCACGCGTGAAGAGCTGACAAAATACTAAGTCAGTCGTCTAATCAATATTATAATAAACTTAAGCTGTTTTGTTCGCGACAGTCTCACTTGTCATTCGGGTACCTTCCTTCTGCATGTGAGCAGTTGTATGAATATCTCATTTTGCAATTCCACTTGCAAAAACCAACGGGATTCACACAACAACTGCCCGACAAACTAGCCGGGCAGAACACGTCTCAAGCATTGCAGATGAACCGAAAAGCAATATCTGCTTTATCGGGTTCTCATTGTAAAACGTAATATAAAAATTGACTGCATCCAGGGCATAAAGGATAGATTCAGCGAGAGTAGTTTCTTCTAGACAGCTATTTCGGTAGGGAGGAGAAGAGATGAAGAGAGGAAGAAGAAAATGCCAGCTTGGACGCACCTTGCGTACGAGAGAGAAAACGAGAAGTGAAGGGCAGAAAATAAAGCCCTCGTCTCGCGGCAGCGACGATGCAGGAGAAAAGAATAAAACTAGAAATAAAGAGAAGAGCAAGCGGGCGGAAACCGCGAAAGAAGGGAAGGGGATACTGGTTAGCGAGAGGGCTGGAAGCAGCTCCCGTAGGAACAACTCAAGATGTAAATCAATGCGAGATAAGGGCGGCTGTCCCCTGGGAAGAGGACGCTCCACGTGCTGCGAGAGGAATGGAAAACGAGTACCGCAAAAGGGTGGGTCTCCCACCCGGGCTGCCATCACGAAAATGCCCGTTCGCGAATTATTTATTTACCTACTTCGGCGAAATTCCACCCTTAAGTGGAGGAACGCACGGCAAGAGCGCCCTCCCCCAACTCGCTCTTTCTCCTAATTAATTTATTCGACTTTGTCGAGAGCTCGCGCCGTAGGCTTGGCTGTTGGCGATAATCCCACAGAAAACCCCCGCGTCTTAATCCGCGATTACCAAAGCCCATCTATCGATGCAACTAGCTAGGGTTATATGTTCTCTAAAGGTTACCTAATCTTAAAGAAGTTAATGCGACATTACAGATTTATTTTCCAAAGGTTCTCATATACTTCAACCAATTTCAAGTTGAATTTGCGAAAAGCTCGTTATTAAGTTTACGCCCTTGGGTACACGGTTTCGGTCTTGCGTATTATTAATCGAAAACGTACATCTTCCAATATAATCTCGAGAGAGCGATATCTACTTCCTCTTAAATAGTTTTACAGAAAACTTGTACTCGTGACAAAAAGTAGAAATTGCACGGAAATATGTAACGAAATATATTTGAAGTTTGGAAATCTTTTAAAGCGACCACAACTGTGGGCGGCGCGTTATCGAGTTGAATGTATATACCTTCGAAAAAGCGTGAAAGCAAAGTGCGTGGAACTTGGCAAACGTTTCGCGGCCACAATGCGAGAGCACCCGACCAACAATAAGAATACATTTCAAGTTGCTTTTTTCGCCGCACTTACATTGCATTTTCTCACCGCGTATATTTTATGTATTCCAACTATTTGAACGTAGCGATGCGAGGAAAATCCGCTAGACTCGCGGATACTTACGGCGGAGTTTCGTAAGTTGTAAGAACCGGCCGAGCATTGCGCGAACTTCGAAAGGGACCGTAGCTGATGTAGCTACTCAGCGGCCCGTTCCGCGACTTGCTCTTTTGCGATTCATTTATTCGGCACGACGGCGGAAACTTTTCGAAATGAACACAGCCTTTCCGTTTCTTTCCATCCTCCCTCGTGAATTTATTCCACCCCTCATCCTATCTAATCCCTTCAGCGATTGGTAAATATTGAAAAAATTACTTCAATTTAAACATACCGTACCCAGGCACCGAGGAACGTGGAATATCCGTAAATTAAGCGTTTATCGAACGTATATAAGATATATATAGATATCTATGAACTCTATTGTAGCTCCACTCAAAGGTTAGATGCCCGGACATGATACGTAATACATATATCGTAGATATCTACAATGGTCTATAGATATTCATACGTATTTGTAAAAACAATTAAATTCATAACACTTTTTGAGCAGAGTCCTGTTTGAGAACTTGTTTAATACAGCTATACAGACAAATCCTGCTGTTTTTTATATAGAGCAATTTTTTTGTAATTATCGGGATTTGAACCCGGGACACTCACGGGTAGGAAGCAGAAACGCTAACCATAATGCTACCAAAGCCTATGAAATAATAAATATTTTTCGGACTTATAAAGACCACTCCGGTACTTCTCGCTCGGTGCTAAAGATACTTCTTGCATCTTGTTGTAATCTTATTCTTAAAAAAAAACTCGTAAGTGATTGTAAAACTAAATTATTTAAAAAATTGTAACAGTATGTTATAAAATCACCTTTTTATTTAAAAGTGCATAATAAATGTATACCGATTCACTTTTAAGATACTAAACTCATAATTTTAATACAACCTTATATACTAAAAGTGCATGAATTTTATGAATATTATTTAAAGATATTTCATTTCAATGTGCGCAATTTTTACAGTGTAACTACATTTTTATAAGCTGTGAAAGCTGAATATAAACGATCAATTTAACGTTTTCGAACAATTTGGATTTTTATACAGGTTATCTAGACTTCCATGATATATGTACTGAAAATATAGGCGTGAATAATATTTACGTATATATTCACGGGATATTTTTATTATGCATACCATAGATAATGTAAGTTTTCTATACTTATATCCTAATTTGTACGTCCACTATAAGTATATTATACTTCATACGGTGCCTGGTAATACATCATAATTTACACAGCGGTAAAAAAATCATGATGTATGATCACCAGCCGAAGAGGGCATAAATAAAAAATCAGAGTATGGACGAAATTAACAGTTTTATCAAGTTGGAATTTAGACATAAACATTAAGTGTGTATGAAAAATGTTAGATTACATGAGGTATCTTTTCATTTTTCTAAACGTATTTTCAACGATGTTGATTAACCTTTGGTAGATGCTACTAGAGCTATTATATATTTTGTATGCGTCAAAAAATAAGTAGATATTTGTAGATCAATAGTGGATATATAATTTTCATCTACAATAGACATAGATGTATGTATGTATATATATATATATATATATACATACATACATATATATACATATATATATATATCCTTTAGATATATTTTTAGGTGGATAATAGACGATATACATTTGTTCTGCTTATAGTCCTAATTTAGACGATTAATTTACGTATATATTCCACTTCACGGGTTGCCTGTATATCGACCCTAAGAGCTCTCCTAGACTCGATAATGCAAGCAATTACGACTTCATGTTATGGCCCGTCACGAACAAAAATAAGCCATTCTCAGCATATAATTAAGTACTATCGCCATGTTGATGCTTCAAGCAGGGCTTCTCGAACTGCAAAGTTTCAAAGCCATTTGCTGTCGTACTTAAAAAACGGAAGACTGAATTCTTTGATACGAGTTTCTTCCCAACGGGAAAGGCTTTCTCGCAAAGGGCGTATTTAATGATGTTTCGGGAGCGTAACGCGCAATTTGGCTATAGGTATATCGGTGAAAATCTATTTCCGTAACGGACAGTTCGGGGTCGGAATTTTCAGGTGGAAAGGAAAAAATAGCGGTAGATGCCCCACCATGCCTCATGCAACTGGGTCGAAGAGCCAATAACCGGGCGAGCGAGTTGTCGGAATAACCCCGGTTATTTCGCTAATAGATTTTTCAGTGGAATGAAAAGATCGCGCCCCGATACGTCGCTTAATGGAGTGGAAATGCAACCGAAGAAAAACGGCGCGAGTACAGGCTCGTTCATCCTTTCCAGCCGAAGTGCCGGCTCCCCTGCTCCCCGAACGCGAAAGGAACTCGACGGCTCTGCAAGTTCGAACTCGATGTCGAACTTGCGGCCGACTTGCGAAATTCGACCAAAAGCAGGAAATGATTTTCTACTCTCTTCCCTTTCCCGAAACTCGGAAATGGAAACGCAACGCCCTCGAGGATCGACCGTCGAGGAACTAGCCGAAAATCTAGCGAAGTCCGGAACTGCACCAACGTGGTATGCCGCTATTAACTTAACTATCACCTTTTTTCATTTCACTCTTATAATATTTTTACGCATTCATAAAAAGAACTGCATTTTTAAACACTCCCATAAACTTTGCCGTTGGTACTGCAATTTATTTTAGCCGCTTTCTGGACATTTTCGCTTTTACGACTGAGTTCAACGTGTTATTTTTATGAGTATGAAGGTGCTATTCATTATTTTAGTATCTTTCTCGACTTCTCCAAGACTCTATTTTCTCCAGCAAGCCAAGTGCCAGTGTAGATATCTTCGATTTATCCCCTACCCACTCCTGACTTTCTGCGACCTCGATTAGTAAAATGAAACATTTGTACCTCTCGATACAAGAGCATCCACGATATGAAGTCAGCAGGTGGTTATTGGAAAACGGCGGTTTTATATTTATGCAAGATATTTGGAATGTATCGATGTCTCATAAATTCACTTATTTTCAAACTGGCGCCACAGTCCAGTCTAGCAGCGCGAAATTTCTCGACTTCTACCGTACGAGGCAAACCCTATGAACGAGTCATAAATCAAAACTTTCGGAATCCTCTTTCGCACCCCCGTGGAAAGGTAAACCGTGAGCAGGTCATAGCCATAAATCTGAGGGGGCAAGGTCAACGAGGGCGATGTTGCACTCGCCGGTTAATATTTTCTCAAAGCTTCGACCTTAAGTTCTCTACAAATTTTTCCTTGTTTACGAGAGGTAACCTTTAGCCGTACATAGAAATTATTTCCACTAAAATCTTAATAGGATATCTTATCGTTATCTTAATAGAACAAAATCTTTTTTCCAGAAAATTTCTAACGTTTACAACCACTGCTAGAAACAAAAGAGATTTCTCGTGGACAGAGAAACTGGAAATTCGAATATTCGTTGTTACCACCTTAAATGCCGGGTGAACCATCGATTACCCACAACTGTGACGTACAATAAACGTAACTTATTTCGATAAAATGTATTACGTAATAAGAATAATGAACACTCTGTTTATTTTTATCAAAGCGTTGTCTGTATGGGATCATATATAGTTGGGATCACGTAAAAGCAGATTGCAGACACAAAATGTTTACTTATCCGTTAGACAGTTAATTTGCATATTCGATCAGCTTAGCAACCCTGATAGTTCCGTTACGAGTGTAACTTCGTCCTTTAAAGTGACCCAAATCCCCATCCACCGACGTTAAGGTCCTACTATTCATAAACAGAGATGAGTTGTGAGATCGCTCGTAGGCAGGGTCGCACGATCGCGTTCCGTGCTGCCCTCGATGGAGAATGCAGGCGGCTAACGGACTTGCCCCCAACGGCGGCCCAACTCAGGGATCCAACTCATCTCTGCTCACAACTTACCTCTCAGCGCTCGATTATGAAACTTTACCGTATCGCGGCACTTAGGAGAGTTTCTTCACAAAAATAGAATTTAATGGTTATCAAGCCCTTTCTTAAGGTCTTTATCCTCGCGTTATAAAATTTCAAACGATTCGGTACACCTAGTTCTGAGAAATATTTCGGAAACTACTGACCCCTCGATTGCCCCTTTCAGGTCACCTTAACGAAAAATCCGTAACTTTAAGATGATGCAATGGGAGTACAAGGGTACCTTTTCCAGATACCTGCGTCCAGGAGTCGGTCGGGAGAAGAGACGGCACGGTAATTACGGACTCTCGAATTTCATAAAATTCTAATCCCCCACCTACCTACATTTTTGGACAAATCAAAATTTATCCGGATAACAAGAACCGACCCCACCACCTGTTAAGCAGACAGTTAAAATCGTCCGATTAGGCTCCCCTCCCGTATCTTCCTCGGGACGAGGATCCCAAAAGTCCCTTCGAAAATTTTGAACCAAAAGCAAAGAAGACGCTAAAGACTGGGGACGCTGTCTGCAACCACCAGAAGGGATCAAGGACGTCGAAGAAAACCCTGCGTTTAGTATAAGCGCCGTTCATCTGTACAGAAATTACTGAAATCAAAGTAAGATTTTCCTTTGATGCGTTTTAGTAGATTTTGCAGACTTGGATTATATTCACGTTTTTAGAGCCTACAGCCGTGGGCGATGCAAAGCTGCAACACGTTGTGCGATTCTGACTTTCGCTTAATGGCGCACGCTTCCCCTTAGCGGCCAAGATGAAGCGTGCGTCACAGACGTTTGTGTGGTCGTGCGGTCATCTGCATCGTTAACATCTGCTTTTGCCCCGCGAATTGAGTCACGCGGAATTAGAATTTTCTGGAGCGGCAACCTCCTCGTGGTGGGCCTAGGGGATCAGTGCTTTCTGACAAATGTTGATATTCAATGCTGCATAATAAATCTTTCAAGCACAAATGGAGACAGTCAATAAAACATTCGCTAATAATCCTTAAACGACGCCCGTGATAGGATTGAGCAACTTTTTTGCCTTTGCATCAATTAAACAATGTAGGGTAATAATACAAAATTGTTTTAGAAAGTAAGAATACAAACAAGTTTGTATCGTTTTGCTAACTGTGTTTCTCAATTTGGGGATTTTTCAAGAAAGAACATGATAGTACACTGCAGCAGCTTTTAGAAAAAGAACCTTTTTTATCAAATATGTATTATCACAATGCCAAATAGACAGAAAATATTCAATTTCATTCTTTTCATTGAATTATTCGATATCATTCTACCAAAATATAAACCAACAATTAAAATACTTGCCTAAATACAATTATTTTCTTGATTTACGAAGGGAAAATCCTTCCCCTGTGAAAGCCTTAAATTCATCTTGATCCTTTACCTAGAAAGAATTCAAATAATCTTTAATCACTATTTCTACATCAATACTACTCGTTTGGATTTGATTTTCATTTTAAGGAAAATATATCACCTCCTTGGTGTTAGCAGGTTTTATATTACGCAGGAACTTCAGAGTGCCAATCTTGTAATCATAATCAGGAATGCCTCTGATGTAAACTGGCTTCTCAGAGAGAATATCTGACTGCCCAGAATCTTTCCGTTTCTTTCCGTTTAATCTGTTACCCTGTCCTTTAAATGGAACAAAACCAGCTGGGGCTGGCATTAATTCTGTTGGATCCACTGCATCATCTTCTGTTTTGACTTCTTTCTCTGGTTCTTTATAACCAACCGGTGGAGCAAACTCCACATTCATATCACACTCGATAATGCTAACTGCTGGGCCTGGTCTTGTTTCAAGGACGCACATTTCATAAATTCGTTGATTATACCTTATAGCAATTATATCACCTGTCGTCAAACAGGCAAAACTTCTCAAACCATTTTCTAACACTGCCTTTGGATTTGTAATGTCTAAGAAATCTTCAGACTGAGGTTGAAAGCGAGAAAATATAGCCACAGGTAATGATACACTTTCAATATTTAATAATTCTCCTTCCTCTAATAATAGGTTATGCATCATCTATAAATCCATGCAAAATAAATGTTATATATTTTTAACTTACAGTTTTAAAACTGTTATTATAAAAATTACCTATGTACCTACCCAATAAGGAAGATAAACTTTTCCCTCATCCGCCACAAATTCTAGTACCCCACAGTGGGTAATTCTATTAGTCTTCTTATTAGTTAGTTTGAACAACATTGGATAAACAATATTTAATCTGGTGAGTTGTTCCAATGCCGAAGGTGGCATAATAACTGTTCAATAAAGGTACATTTTATTACTATATTTGCCATATCTTTAAAGAAAATAAAAGCACGACTTACTTTTTCCTCCCCGTTCCACATCTTGCCTCTCATTTCCAGGTAACATAGATACGGAGAAACATTTATATTGTGTATTAAAGGGCCGGGGGATCTCCGCAAACATATTTAATCCAAACTGGAAATAGAAAATCATTGTGCTCAACATAACCTCACTTTGTATGAAAATTGCTTTGTTTAAATCTTTCGCTAAATATACTTATTTTTTAAACATTACCATTCTTTAATAGTATTTACACGCAATCGACAATACGAGTATCTCAACTGTACCTCACACAAAACAGAGAATAAACGAATTCACATAAATTTAACTAAACTGTCATCAAAATGATTTATCTTTGCCACAGAATCTTTCTGCCACGGAAAATGCACCACAGTGACTAGTGACAAAGAATACAGATGTCTCTCCATCTGAATTCTTTGCTAGTGACAGAGATGAGTTGGGAGATTGCTCACGGGCAGGATCGTACGATCGCATCCTGTGCTGCCCTCTGGTTTCGTACGTTAGCTTTCACCGTTTTTTGCCCCCAAGGGCGGCACATTTCTGATAGGAGCTCGCACACTCACGATGGCGGTACCATCTATGTACATACGTTTATTACGTATTATTGACGAGAGCGCTCACTTCTCGCACTATCATCTCACGTAGGTGTATTTCTACACCTTCAGGAAATCCATTCTGCCCCTTGGACGATTCAAATTCCGCGCTGCTCCCGCCGCTAGTACGCCGCGCGGCTGGAGAGGGCAGTAGGTCTGGGAGGAAACCATACATACTCCCCTGCTCATCTCTTATACTCCGTAATAATATCAAATAATTGCAACTAAGTTAAAAACATGTCCACGAACGCAACAAAAATGTTAAAAAATAATAAGCTCAAGAGATTAAAAAAACAAATGGAACAGCGAAGAAAAATTCAATTGAAGAAAGCTAATGAAACAGAGGATAAAATTATAAAACATTTAGAAAAACAACTGAAATTGAACAAGCGGAAAAGTAAAACGACTCCAAAATCTTTTACATCGGATGGCTTGGACTGTATCCTTTCATTCATCCATTACCATGAAATTATACATTTGTATTAAGTTACAATTTTATATAGCGTCTCGCTCGAACTCAACGCGCAGGGCGCGTTTCTCGCATCGCTCAACACTACGAGTTTCTTGATATATGTAACATAATTTATTGTTTTTGTAAATTTGTAACCATTTCAATATGGAGAGACTAGATGAACTGTGGTGTTGGGTGCATGCAGCACAGTTTGGATGTTTTTTTGCAACATGTATTACACATTTGATTCAAGTGATAAAAGTCACTTTCCGTACCCATAAATGGTTTTGTGGCAAGGATCTTAAATGCTCTTTGTATCAAAAGGGTTAATTATTTTTATACTATTACTCATATTTTCAACATTTTATTTTAACCTTGACAAAATTTTATCAAACAGATTTATTGGACTTCTGCGACACGGAAAGTAGAAAAAATTTAGTTGAAACTGAAAAACAATTAGTAGAAGCTGATTGTGAATCTGAATTTGAAGAAGATTTTGCCATTGCAGCAACAAGCCTGAAATACCAGAAAAATTCTGATGACAGATCAGATATGACAGTTTCCAAAAATACAAAAAAGAAGATTAATAATCATCTTGAAGATTATAATACAGATGATTCAAGTAATAAAGTACATGAAAAAATGTCTGACGAAAACAATGAAGATCAGCAATCAACCAAAAAAAGAAAAATTAAAACAAATAGTAATAAGCAACTAAAGAAAACTAAAAATGATGTCTCACCAGAAAAAAATATATATAATTTGAAAGAGAAGAAAAATTCAATGAAATTGCTTGCTTCAAAAGTCCAAAATAATGTAAAAGAAAACGACAAAAAATCAGAAATGTACAACGATGTATCCAATGAGGAAAATGTAGGTTGGGAAGATATTTATGGAAGAAAACGAGACAAGGATGGTAATACCATACCTGATCGAATGGATAAATATATACCACCTGCAGCAAGGCATACTGATTTAAAGATAAATTCTACTACAAATGATAAGCTTACAAAATTAAAAAAGCAGTTAAAGGGCCTTTTAAATAGATTAGCAGAATATAACATGCATACAATTGCTTTACAGGTATGTTTTACATTAGGATGATCATTTACATATGATATGCTTTAATTATATTTAGTGTTATAAATTATACAATTTTTGCATAAATAATACATTTTTTTAGGTTGATGAATTATACATGGCAAACAGCCGCAATGATATGAATGAAGTATTGTATAATCTTATGGTTGAAGCTCTTGTTTTACCTGTACTAACTCCAGATCGACTTGTCACAGAACATATGATGTTAATTTGTATATTACATGCAAATGTTGGCATTGAAGTTGGAGCTCACTTTTTATTAAAACTCATTAAAAAGCTTGATAAGATGTTGCAAGACCAACACGAAGTAGAAAATAAAGAAGTAGACAATGTCTTGTTAATGGTTTCTCACTTATATAATTTTAAGGTACAATGATAAAATTAATCAATTTGAAATGTTTTATAAGAGCATGTATATATAATCTTCAAGTTATTCACTTATAACAGGTGTATGGATCACAATTGTTATACCAAATTCTAGAAAATCTATCCAATAAGTTTACGGAAAAGGAAGTAGAGCTCATACTTCTCATTTTAAAAACAGTAGGCTTCGTTCTCAGGAAGGACAACCCACTTGCGCTTAAGGAATTAATAATAAAATTACAACAAAAGGCAGTGAACATGGTATCTGAGAAGTATGTAAATCAATAATGTTATTATAAAGAACAATTATTTCACATCTAACTGTTTAACTTTTCAGCTCGAGAATACGATTTATGTTGGATGTCTTACTGGCAATTAAAAACAACAATGTCACTAAAATTCCGCAGTATGATCCGTCACATGTAGAACATTTAAAAAAACTGATGAAGACTATTATACGAAAAGGCAATACTGTGACCCAACTTAATGTTTCCTTAAACGATTTACTATTTGGTAGTTTCAATATTCATATTCGCCATTTTTATCGTTCACGTACTGAAAAGGTATTAACTTCTTTATTATTTTGTATTAATAGCAAATGAAAGAGGAAAATGGTGGATAGTTGGATCAGCATGGAGTGGGGGTCTGGATGAGAAGAAAGATAACAATAATACTAATGAATCAAACACAATATTCAGTAAAAAATTACTCGATTTGGCACGTAAACAACGTATGAATACAGACATCAGGAAAAACATTTTTTGTATCCTCATGTCTGCAGAAGACTACTTAGATGCATTTGAAAAATTGCATCATTTAGGATTAAAAAATCAACAAGAAAGAGAAGTGATCTATGTTATTATAGATTGTTGCTTACAAGAAAAAAAGTTCAATCCATATTATGCTGTGTTAGCCGAAAAATTTTGCAATTTTGATAGAAAATATCAGGTACGTGTTATACCATTTCTTGTAATGTAAGGTGATTAGTTAATTCAATGAAATAAAAATGTACCTTTTCTTACCTTTGTTCTAGATGACAATCCAATATACATTATGGGATAAATTAAAAATACTACAATCTTACAATAGTAAACAATTAGCAAACCTAGCTCAGTTTTTAACTCATTTGTTTCTAGAAAAGGGACTTCCACTCTCAGTTTTAAAGGTAACAGGATTACAATTAAGGGTCTAGTGAAGTCAGGTTGGCTATATTCAATTTTGATATTGGAGGCAGGTAAATCGCGTAAAATTCCCAATCGATATTTAACTACAGTTTTCATGTATTCGTGAAAAAGTAGGTGTGTAGAAATCAGTGAATGTGTAAAATGTATCAGCCGGTTTGTGTTTGTGTTGACATGTTCAATGTCGAATTATGGCCTCGGAATCCTAACCTCGTGAATGAATCAATTTTCGGATAGTGATATCTCGTTTCGCAGTGCATAATCCGTCATAGTCTAACCAGCTGACACATTTCGTGAGTACCTAGCTTCTTTGTGTCGCAGTTTTCATTGGCAAATATTATTTGCTTCATAGGATACCAATTGGAAATTTTAAGCAATTTCCTCGCCTCTGATGTTACGATTCAATATGACTGACCTGGCTTTACATGACCCTTAAAACATTAATTTTACTGGTTAAATTGTTAATGATGATTACTCAAAATTAAAATGTAATTGTTGTATACAGGTAATTGAGTTTGGAGAGTTAGACAAGCCTATTGTACGTCTTTTGAGACAGATCATGCTAGGAATACTACTTCATGAAAATACAGACGCATGTGTACAAGTCTTTGAAAGGATATCAATGTCCTCACAATTACACATGTTCAGAGAAGGACTAAGACTGTTCATTAATCACTTTGTTGTAAAAATTGCTAAGGAAGACGTTTTGCCTACCCAACAGGTAGCAAAATTAAAAGAAACAGCTCTATTAATGGATAAGATATTAATGTCTCATGGAACATCCAATGTGTTTTAAGTAAACAGCGTTTCTGTAATGTAGTGTAGTTATTTGTATAAAGTAAAAAATAAGGCTGCATGTTAAATTATCGTTATCATGTATAAAATAATTACATACTTTATTATGTAAAAAAAAATTAATTTTATATCAATTTCCTTACAAATATTGAGCATGGCAGTTGTCACTGAATAAATGTATGAAACTTTAATAAAATCTATTGAATGGATTGTTTCACAGGATAGAAATTGCAATATCTTATTGCATAGCGTTAAAGCATCGGAGGTCTTATCTTAACGCTACGCTTAAGTCTGCAAAATCATTTCTTCAACCAAATGTTTGTATGCAGGCTTTATAAGCATTCTCGTACTTCACATCCAATCCTCCACTACAGCCATATCCCCCAAGACGATGTATACGAACAAAGTCATCGCAATTGATCACTCCATCTCCATTACAGTCCTATGGGCATTTCAATATTTTAATTTCATGATATTGTCAATTATACTATGTAGTTATCAAAACAAAACCTACTTGACCAAATTTGTTCATGTAACCTTCAATGGCACGGGCAGCACAAAATGGCTCATTTACACAGCGTGAGTAAGCTGTAAAAATATTTTAAAAAATGAGAGCGACATTACATTGATTAAATCCATGGAATTTACAATTATTAAATTGATTTATAATAAAACACTACTCTCGTCTATAAAAAAAGAAGCTAGACTAACAGAGCTAAATGTAAAAGTATAATTATGCAATCATAGAAGATTTAATGAAATCATTCAACAATGAAATTGAATAAAATCAATATTGAGAAAACATAGAAAAACTATTTGTTATTTAAAAAATAAAAAAATTACCTCCTTCAGCAGAATTGGGCTCATCATTAAGTGTAGGCTTACCACCGTCTGCCCAATAGCCCCAAGTAATTCGAAACGGTCCACAAACTTCACCATTACATCCAAGAGTAGTATTGCATCCAGATGCAGCTTCACAAATACATCCCAAACATGTTTGTGACACTTTTATTGATGATCCTTGAGACTGAGTATCTTGAGCTAAAGAATGCAAAAAATCTAATTAATAAATTTGTCATAAACAGAGCAAAGAGCTATACAACTATAGCAAAACCCTGTTAATCTCTCAGCTGATACATCAAGTATCGATATCTATAAGCGAGCTTAAAAAATAAAAGTCATATCTCGCAATGTGGCATTCCTGTATAGAGAAAAACATTCCCCCAAAATAGAATAAGCCTTAATCGATAAAAACCGGTTGGCATATTTTCTATTTAGTCTTTGGGTTAAAGTACGATCGTGGATTAAAATCATCCGCAACTAATTAAGAAACAGTTGCTTTCACAAAAGAACAAGAAAACAATAGGACCAAGGTGAAGAGAAATTGTCAGCTTTTGTAAATGCTTAGAAATAAATGATGCTAGTAAAATATTTTCTGAACTCATGCAAAAACGTTGGGACATCTTTTAATACGCAAAGTGTAAGCTCTCGATTTCTTTATTCCATAGGTATTATTTAGGTATTCTTTCTAATCCCTACTAAACACTAGTTTAATACTAAATGAAGATCAAGGCTTTGGTGGCCTCTCACCCGGATACCCTTGAACTTGCTTTCAATATTTGGTCTCCTCGACGCGAGAGTGCGAAAATAGCTGAGGACATCATCCGGAAAACCGGATCCCTGTCACGGTCGATCGTTAACCGAACTTGTGTATAAAGAGAGGAAAGAGATTTTCTGTTAAGGACCTTTTGTAAAAAAAAAATACTCTCGATACGTTTTTCAGGACACAATCCTTAATTCGATCACATTTTGTAATATAAGTTATTTCAGTGGAATTGTAATAGAGAACAGTAGAGTGCCTGTCAGGTCAAGTGTTTTCAAGACAGTTCAAAAATAATTTCGTTAATTATTAAAGCACGAATAAGTTCGATCAGCTACGGGTACTCATCTTATTAAAAGGCTGAATGCTTCTGCACATAAAAACACTGAAATCAATAATATATGTGCCAAATATCCTGTAACAAAATCATTGGACATTTCATGATTTCGTTAATGACCTGTTATTCGTTTCGATCCTTTTAAGTAAATGTATTCTCGAACCGTACAAATAAACACTCTTGAAGATGTTTACGCTAATTAAAAATGTATTTAAATTGATAATGCATAGAGAACCAAGATAAACTTATCATTCTTCTGCTATTCATTACTTTTTAAGATCGCTACTTTTCCTTGAAGATAAATAAAAGACTGGATACGGGTTAGCGAACTGAATAAGTATTCAAATCTCAGAAATAAAGCACATTCGAATTTCCAATTCACGCATTTCATCCATGATGTATTCCTGATTCCATTACAATATCACGGTTGTATTATCGCGAAGTCAAATCATGTATATATTGAATCGGTAAAAAGAATTACGAGACATGCTAATTATATGCTAAACGTTTGCCCGAAGGTGATGAATAGTTGATTTACGATCGACGATACATCAAGCTGCGATACAAAACGAATTTTAATACTTTTTCCTTCTTTGAACGAGAGATATGATCGCAAAATGTGTGGAGATTGTAGATAAGTTTATATACGAAAATTAAACGAGATGACGCAGATCGAAGAATGATCTTATTCTCGCTAATAGACAAATCCTTTTCTGGTAATGCGACATTGAAATAGTAATTCTTGGACTCCCGGATTCAGTGTAGAAGGACGTGAAAGTAATTTCAATGATTTCATTTCTGGAAATATGCCAAAATTCCAGTGAATTAAGCAATCCCAGGATTCGATTATGTCCAATACCTAATGACCTCGGATCTAATGAATTTCCTTCGAGCAAGTTACGCCTAGTAGCTTCCTTTTTGAATAATTACAATAAACAATTGTTACAATTTTCGAACGTCAAAAAATTACGTGAAGAAACGATATATATATATATTATTAGAAACCAGTTTCTCAAAAAGTGTGAAATAAAAATTTGCGCTCAATGTATCTTAGGCGGAAATTGGAATACAATGGGGACTATTTCTTTGGAACCATTTCTTTCGCGATTTTTCGAGGTATACTTGTCTTCAAACGGCATTACAGTTACTATTTCCTCGACTTTCCTTTCCGCAAAAACCAATAATTACGAATCTGGAAATTTAGAAAGCGAGATCTTGGGTTACGGTCAGTTTCATCGCATTATCGAATAACTATCAATACAAGTACAAAATGATTACAATCGTGAAATTGGGTACTTTCGGTTAGAAAAAGTACATATAATAAATGTAATCATTTTCATTAACCCTTCTCGGTCACAGCACATCTGGACATGCGTATATTTCATCGGGCACCGTCCGCGTTACAACCACAATGAGTTAAAATAGTACTTTATAAATTGACTAGGTGTTAATGGTAAATACTCAATATACTCCTGCAATTGAAAAGCATAGGCCTTGTAACTCATTTGTTTTATAAATACTTATAAGTTGCGTTTGATTGAATCAATAAACCAAGCGCGTTTTGAGTCGCTACACAGCATACTTATTATCCGCTCCATACACTGAATTCAGAATACCTACTTTTCTTCAGTTTATAATCAATGACTATGAATTTCATGAACGCAATGTTTTTACTCTCTTCGATATTGCCTTAGTGAATGCATGTTCTATACACATTTTCTTCCTTTCTACGACAAAGCATACATATATTAAAGAACTATATTTTGAAATAAATAACCATGCCTTCAAGGCCACTCTACTCGACACAACTCCGATTTTACGACACAGTTCCTCAAAGCATACCTTTATAATTATACTGACGTTTTAGTTTTTAGTTATTATCCTTCATAAAACTATACTTCATTATTAACAATTTCAAAATCTATCATAAATTCATTGAAGGATACTATTTTATAAAACATAAGGGAACGTAGTATAAAAACTGCTTTTGTTTCATGTAAATTCAATTCCACTATATTAAATCATCACCTAGCTTCTACCAAGGACATACGTATTAAAACTTTTCTCATGTAACAGCATTCTGACAAAAACGAACTGTATATCTGTGATATTACTTCTAGCATCTTTTAGAACAGTGATTATGTAATGTAATGGTAGCGTGAGGAACAATACGATAATTGTATATGTCATATTCTTTCCCGCTAATTCAGTAAAAGAATCGCCCAATAAACGTTACAACTACAATTATTCTTCGAATTGATTTTTCTAAGTATTTAACGCAACTAAAATTTCAAGTTCGAATTGTTACGGCATTCTAGCAATAATTATTTTGAAGAAATTAGCTAATAAGCGTATAATATTGCTTACCGTAAACACAGGCCAAGGACGCGCAAACGAGTGCAGCAACTATTCGCACGAAATTTGCAAACATTCTAGCGGCTAATTTCCCAAAGGATGAAGAGAAGGATTTCTGCGAAGGAACTGCCTCCAGATACTGCTCGATTACTGCTGACTCTCCTGCGGAACCGTCTCCTTATATACCGATTTGCTTCAATGTCGAGGCGGTACCTTAGGTGGGGATCCGGGAACGCGTTCGAAGAATCGGCAGACGAGTCTTCGGAATTTCGTTTAAACGTTCTAACGATGCGTTCCCTGACTTGTGGCAATCTACAAAAAGTAGAACTACGGTCTATGGTATCCGGGAATGGTATCTGTTTCCAGGCCCGTTTTTCTTGATAATGCCTAAGCGCGAATGATCTTTCAACTCGTCTTACAATAAATACAAATGAAACGGTCCTTCGAATGAAGTAAATTTACATACTAATTGGAACTCTTTTTCCAGAACACAGCTACTATGAGAAACTTGTTTCAAGTTACATTAAAACTATGTAACATGGATCGGAATCACTGTATTCACTGAAACTGCTTAGAAGAAATTAGGATTTCTGTGAGAATACATGTAAAGAAATATTTAAAATGAAAATAGTTTGCATGAACCCTTGCGATAATTGTTATTTAAGATTAATTGACATAATCTTCACAAAAGACATGTTAATTTCCGACAATAGAAATAATTAATCTGCCATCAAATGGTGATTTGAAATTTTTGTTATAGTTTATATTGCGTGCTCGTAAGTGATCTTATTCTAAATCATGTCATTGCACCGTAACACATTACATCGTAACTATTATTTACACTATTTCGAAATTCGTAAAGAAATGTAATAGAAAGAATTAATTTTTCAGTCTGATATAATACTAAACTTTATTCAATGATCAGCGCAAAATAGATTTTTGCTTCTATCACGCGAGTAGGAAAGTGAATCACTGCAATACTATTCCAAATATGAATCAAAGACCTAATTCTGTATTCTGGCTGTCAGGAAGCATAAATTATAATTAAATATATTTCTTTTTATAAAACACATGTCAATAATTTGACTTATAAAGCCTAAATCATACTTTAATGGATATCTTGTAATTCTGCATATAAATATATTTTCAGATTACAGTTCTAGCTTGAACATCGGTAGCATTTAGTAATAAAAGGAGAACTGCATTGTTGCTTTGTAATGGCAGCGGAAAAGGTTCTTTCTAGGTATATTCAGTAACAAATTATATATACAAACAATTAATATTTATTAATTTGATAATAAAAGTTATTGGATTATTTAAATTTTGTTAAAGGCTGCAATATCTGCAGACTGAACTACACTATCGAACTCCTGAATGAGTTCGATCAGATGTTCTACAGATACTTTGTCATCTTCCACTACGCACATGATCTGTAGTTTGTGTATGCCATAGCCTACTGGTACAAGTTTTGCTGAAAATGACATTAAAAGTGATTAGTTTTATTTTTAAATCACTTATGTCAACTAACTGTTAAATATGACTGAATATAAATTATATTAGATCATAGCAGGATGCAAAAATTGAACTACATAAAGCTGATGGTCAATAAATTGGCAAGAAAAATGATTAACACGATAACTTACAGGCACCCCAAATTAATCCATCCATTGTAATAGACCTGACTGACTCTTCCATTGCTTTCATATCCGTTGTATCGTCCCAAGGTTTAACATCTATTACAATACTAGACTTGGCAATAACAGCCGGTTTCTGTGACTTCTTTTCAGCATAAGCCTTTAATCTCTCTTCTCTAACTTTAGCGGCCTCGGCATCATCCTCTTCATCAGAACCAAATAAGTCAATATCATCCTCATCATCTGCAGGCTTATCACTGGGAGGGGCTGCAGATGTGGTACTACCCAGTACAGAAGGAGCCTTCTTTTCACCCGGAAGAATCTTTAAGTCATACGACTTAATATGATTATACCATCTTAGCACATGTGGATTTGAAGGTGAGGGAGCTTCTCCTAAAGCCTCCAAAACTGCAACATCAGCTTGCGATGCTTGCCATCTACGAAAGCACAATATAAATTATATTTTCCATATCCTTACATAAAAATGAGAAAATAATACATGATATATAAGAATGCTCTTAAAACAAAATACTACAAACAGAATATGGAATTTAAATAGATGTTAACATTTTTTATAAATAGAATTAAATACAAAATAAAACAAAACATACACCAAATACAAGGCATGCACCAAATTCGTTTGTCAAAAAAATTTAAATGGTAAATTGAAATCTCATTTTTGATCAAAAATCAATTAACAGTTTAGTCTACGGAATACTGGTAATGACGTCACAAAGGTAGAAAGAATTAGTCCTCCTGGAATCACATAGTACAAGTATTCCGAAAAGGATAGATGTTCCACGGTCACTGCGAAATGCCGACAAGTGAAGCACGTGTCGCAAAACATGAGCCAGTTTATAAAAAGTAAACTCACCCTTCTACATAGCTGCGTTCAGCGAGGTACGCATCCAGATCCTTAACACCTTTGTCAGTCTTCAGATCGCCGACGGCCATGGCGACAGCGTTATGAATTGATAAATATTACACGAATTTTAACAGTAGCAAACTCTCTAGACTGCTCGCCGGAAGAGAGAGTCGGCGAGAAAGGCTGCCCCACATCGACTTCACTTCCAACTGTGACGCTATTCCGGCAATGAGTTGAAATATTATTAGAAGTAAACTCGCTAAACAAGAAATGAAACTTTGAAAATGGTTCCTTCAATTCGACGCTGCTCCACGTTGTTGAGTTGGGTACTTTCTTGGACTATATAAGACCCGACTTTTTCATACTCCCAGATAGCAGATATCTTTATCCACTGGATAAATAAAGGTTTGGTATTTTTCAATGAACTGTAAGGTTTGCTATCTGGAACATAGTTAAATGTTTTGACAATCTGACACACCGAAAAAGTGAGACGTAGCTAACTTCGTGAATTATGGAATCACATTCAATACCCATGCTATTGGAATATTGAAATTTTGAATTTGAACTGAGGAATTAATGTTAAATTATATTATGCACAATTTATTCAAGTATTTTTATTACTTTATATCCGCTAGTTACGAAATAAAAGTATTTTGTTAAAAAATAGTTAATAATTTTTTATTATTACTTGATATGGGAATGAGTGATACGTTTAACCAGTCAAAATCACAGAATATGCATTATTAGTATTAACTAATTAGCGTCAATGCGGTTCAGCATTAAATCAAAGAAAAGGAAAGAAAATTGAAAATAATTGTACTTTGATTAGACGATCGTACATTTATCGTTGAATGTAAAGTTATTGTACATACATTTAGTAATGCTACAGGGACCATGCAACCAATTTGTTGGGTTATACCTGTTCGTGGTCTATAGGTTATACGAAACATTTCCAAGTGCTCGATGTAAATTATGTGAAAACGGGACTTGAAAACTTTAACTCGTTTAAACCGCAATTTAATATAATAATTTGAAAATTTGTTACAAATAAAGTATAAATACAGCGTCATTTCATTTATTAAACATCGGAAGGAGAGACCTCATCTTAATTAAACTCTACTTTGCAGCTGATTCAAGAATCAATGCTATCCTTAGGGGATAGCATTGATTCCCCCGGTCCCGCCACATGGAGGTCGCTGCAACTAAGAAGCGTCTAAGCATAGGCACCTGCTTTCCGTCGACATCCCAACACTCTGGGAATCCGGCAGAAACAGGATTCCATAACCCACACAGCCCACCACCCACATACCATGCTTGTCCGTCCACACTTCGCACCCCGCGCGCATTACAAAGGTTTTACAACTATTGGTTTAAAATCTAGGGGAATCGCAGAGTACATTGCCAATTAATGTAGAATTTTAGATATAATTAGCCGAAATGGCATACTACTTCTAACGCGAGCAATCCAGAATCTTCCACTGTCACCGGCGACTAACCCGACGTGGATGTCGGCCCACGAATACGAGTTTTACCCAACGGATTTAGCCCGTTTTACAGCAGGCAGAGTCCTTGCAGGCTGCCACCAAAGTGAAACAACGCTTCACGAAACCGACAAATAAGGTATCCTCGCACGCCATATACTAGCTACGACCTACTGGTCGTGACGGAAGGGCCGGAACACTAAAGGCACGGCATGCCGTATGTACACACACACACACACACACACACACACACACACACACACACACACACACACACACACACACACACACACACACACACACACACACACACACACACATGCATGCACGCATACATATGTTTTCATTAGCGTCGAACAAGATCCAAACGTTAGACCATATATACCTAGACCTAGCACTGGACTTCCCACACCCAGATTTTCAGTAAGCAGAATGGCTTTAAATGTGTGAGTGAGTCGTTGGGACACATGGTACATTCGTTTACCCTTTCCACCGCAAGACGGCTACATAAATATATGATCTAAAATCTGATTGGGCTGAGTGCCGTCGGCACACGTGGTTCATGTGGTATTCGAGTTTACCCCTTCCACTGTTACGCGAGGTCTAGATATATATGCAGAGATGAGTTGGGAGATTGCTCACGGGCAGGGTTGCGCGATCGTATCGTGTGCTGCCCTCTGGTTTTGTACGTAAGCTTTCACCGTTTTTGCCCCCAAGGGCGGCGCAACGAATTTCTGGTAGGGGCTCGCGCACTCGCGATGGCGGTGCCATCTACCAGTCGGCGCGGGCGGCTCACGTACTCATGATGGTAATACCATGCGGCAGTTGACGGTGGTGGCTTACCTACGCTTACCAACACTGCTCGCATTTGATAGTAAAGGAAGAACACTCGTGGCGCCCTTTTTGACTTTACCCTTCATTTATTAGGTTGTCCCATAAGTTCCTTCCGCATCGTGTATTCATGTCCTATGAAAAAAAGGGAAGAAACTTATGGGACAACCTAATATCAATGAAGTTTGTAGCGAACGAGAGGTTAAGTTACGATTACTTGTAAATGAAACGAACGACACGTGGATCAGTCAATGAAAAAAATGTCACGGTATAATTCTGAGCGCAACTCAACTCGCTCCATTTCTCGTAAATCAATTCTCTCCGGTCGTCACTATATCGATCGATTGTCAAACGATGAACTATTTTATTAAAGAAAATATACACGGTAACACAAAGCTCATGGATGCTATTTCCGTATGTCAGATTTTCAGAATCACAAAAAGTATTACAGTTCACTAAAAAATAATAAAAAGGGGATTAAACAAATTTACCTATCGTTGCAGTTTCCGTTTTATTTTTTAACAAATAAACAACGTCGCAGAAAATGATATCGAGTACCAACGAAAGTGTGAGATACGATTAGAAATATATGATAAAATCGAGAATGATATAAAATAAAAAATAGAAAAATTATTAAACATTGGTAAATTTACCCCGCGGGATAAATTGCCCCGATCTCCCCTATTCTAGCGTACTTCCGGTCCGGGAGCCACGATGTTGATTACCGGGGGCGCCGAAAAATATAACTGGAATTGCTGTCGTACCATATGTAATGATTACAATAAATAAAATTGTAATTATTACGCGTACTAATGAAATGAATAAAACTGTATATAATACCATAACAGCTTAGATATGTGCCTGTACAACTTGAAGATGTAATTAGAGAAAATTATGAAAGACGTGCACGGTCTCAATTTATACTAATTTACGAAAAGAATGCTTCCTAATGGTGAGAAATTTGAAAATGTTTGACATGAAATTGATGTCATAAACGATGTTTATTTATTGATAGTTCACAATTTGTTTAACTACCAATAAAATAAATTTGTGCCACTGTCAAGAAATAAAACCAAATGGAATACCGTCTCTCACGCATACTCGCCATGAATGGGCGCCGACGCACACATACTCAACGCTTCGACCTGTAGCTCGGCGCTTCGCTGGCCGGGACGCGCGAAGATTTTTAGGAGCGATCGCACTCACACAGATTTGCTGCATGTAGTTCCGTACGTGACACCAAAGCGTGCCCGATGCTCCGCGCTCGTCGCTTCTGAACAACAATGTACTTTAATCTCATTGTTTTCATCTTTCGCCGACTCGTGCGATCCACGTCGTTCACGACTCGCGTATTCGGTGTTTACCGATGTATTGAAATTTTGCTAATTACCACCGTTTGACCGTTAGCCGGAATATTTCAGGACAAATGTTTTGCAATAAAATTACCAATGTAGGGGACAAATATTTCAATTGAAGGTTTTTATTATCCGAGCTCATTAATTCATTCTCAAAATGATTATTATAATTTAAGTGTTTGCAATGAAAGAGATAACGGTAGCAACATGAGTAACTAAATAATAATAATACTAACGATAAGAAAGATTGATACTGTTATCTTACGGTACGATTTTAATTAATTTCACATTACTTAACAGAGTCACCTCATGGACGGTGAAATAAATAATGAAAAACTGAACTCATAATAAAAAATTACATAACTGTAATGTGTTTCGTGCGATTGCTATCAACTGTAAAATGTGCCAAAAAATATTTACGTAAAAAACCGTACCCACCTTTCCCCTCCGTCAGGATTTGATCTTGCGACATGTACGTTACACCTGACGTCATACCGACTACGTCGAACTATGCTGTTGGGTATCTCCTTCCATCTAGGTTTTATGTGTTCCTACGGAACATTAATAATTTTTTTATTAATTTCCGTAGCTTATAAAAATTGTATCTACAGTATAACTTAACTTTCGAGCACCCACGTTGTAATTTTGCCTGTATCATTTGCGGATGAAATAAATGAGGTAAATGAAGAGTAAAGTCAAAAAGGGCGCCACGAGTGTTCTTCCCTTACCATCAAATACGAGCAGTGTTGGTAAGCGTAGGTAAGCCACCACCGTCAACTGCCGCATGGTATTACCATCACGAGTACGTGAGCCGCCAGCGCCGACTGGTAGATGGCACCGCCATCGCGAGTGCTCGAGCCTCTACCAGAAATTCGTTGCGCCGCTCTTGGGGGCAAAAACGGTGAAAGCTCACGTACAAAACCAGAGGGCAGCACACGATGCGATCGCGCGACCCTACCCGTGAGCAATCTCCCAATTCATCTCTGATATATGGCTAAGTGCCAAACTGACTGTAATGAAAAGCTACCTTTATACAAGTAAATACCAAGCCTGTTTCCATGACCATTGAATACGTGGCCTGTGAACAGTCCTGGTTAGTGGCGACAGGCATATTTAAGTGAATGAATTGTCGTCTTTACTCGTTTGAATGATAATATGTGAATGATGAAGTGGTCTATAAGATTAGTATCATTTTTCCTAATCGTTTGTTGGAGCCAGTGCGCGAGGGCCTACTTTATCACAGTAGATGCCCATGCCGAAGAATGCTTCTTCGACAAAGTTGAATTTGGAACCAAAATGGGTCAGTTTCCGCAGCCACATTTCTTTTTATATTTTACGAATAACACAGTTTTCCTTTAATTAAAGGAAATAACCAGACTAAAAACGAGTATATCATTGAGCTATATTTATAATGACCAGATCACAACTTCATAAAGCAGGTTTCAATCGAGAGGAAAACTTCACTCGATGCTGCCATGCTTCGCTTTATCCTCGATTTGATAACTCAGGAATATGTATATCATATTCCGTTTCTAGGTCTCACCTTTGAGATCGCAGAGGGTGGATTCTTGGACATTGATGTAAAGATAATCGGGCCCGATGGCAAAGTAATTTTCCAAGTCGAGCAAGAGACTAATGGGAAATATACGTTCGCTGCCCACACAGCAGGCGTGTACACCTATTGCTTTAGTAACCAAAAGAGTACAATGACACCGAAGGTTGTAATGTTCAACATGGACATAGGCGAAGCTCCCAAGCCTGCTGGTGAGAATGGAGAGCACGATGGCGACACTGCTAACCATGGAAAATTAGATGATATGATTAAAGAATTAAGCACTAGTTTGTGGGGCGTAAAGAACGAGCAAGAATATATGCAGGTTTGTATGCATATCACTTTTATATTTGTGCCTAACAAAAACAAAAGCTTGAAAAATGTCTATTAATGTTATACCAAAGAGTGACGAAAAAATGTATGCAGGCTGAAATCTTGGTTGTGTAAAATGCAAACAAGTATTTGAGATCATTGTGCATGTTTCTCTTTTTAGGTACGGGACCGAAACCACAGAGCGATTAATGAAAGCACAAACTTTCGAGTTGTTGTATGGTCCTTCTTTGAAGCGTCAGTATTGGTCTGCATGTCCTTTGGACAGGTGTTTTATTTAAAAAGATTTTTCGAAGTTAGAAGGGTAGTGTAATACATTCTTTCTGTGCACAAAGAGAACAATCAGACCTTCATCGTTAACCTCTCATGTAAATCAGGTCAAATAAAATCTGTCTTAACGACGTCATCGACAAGATTCATCGATATACTCATTGTTATAATTTAACGCTACCTTATAGACATATTAAGATTTCTCTTGTGAACGATACAGTTTATTCTCTGAGGTCCATAAAGATCGCGTAATACATTTTTTTTTACAATCTGCATAAACGAATCTCTGTCGTTGCAACAGAGAATGTACTGATCGACATTATTATTGTACATAATAAATAAGAGTACAGCGTACATGCATTTGTGTTTATTTATAGTATAGCTAGCTATAATTTAGAGTCATTATAGTACACTTTTACATTCATTTAATTTAACAGGGTTTTGAGAGTGTATCCCTGGAAATACATGTAGATGGATAGTTCGACAGAGCTACAAAAATTGGCATACTTTATGAATTGATGTGTGTATACTTTGCAAAGATATGTGATTAAATGGAAATACTAAAAAAATTAGATATAATAATAGGAGCAATATTAGGTACTCGCAGCGTTACTGATAAATTGGCAGCTGACGCAGTATCTTATTTAATATCACAGATTAACACAGACAGCTTCTGTCATGGTTGGACATAAACCTTGATATGGTTTTGTCTGTCTGCCTCCTCTTGATATCAAAAACTTTGAATCGAGACGATCCATGCATTAATGCTGAAAATCTTGGCTAGCGGACAAGTGTACGTACACACTTCACATCTCACTTTCCCTTTTATTATAAAAAACAGCACAGGCATGAATATTCGTTTGAATAATAAGCATTAATGTATTCGTTTCGCGACTTATTATAATTACAAGTAAGCATTAGACCACAGGAATTTATTACACATATTTAGAAACGATTCCATAAACATTTTTAACAAAAATTCACAAGCTGGCAACTCATTGTTCCCACTGGATTTAAAAATGTTTCACCATCAAAAGCCATAATTGTGTAATTTTGCAGTAACAGTTTTCTTCGTTATTAATTATTGTACATAACCTTCAAGCGATCATAACTTTCAATCTCATAGAGCACGAAAAGATTTTGTACAAGTATACATATAGTTTAAGGTTATAACGTTATTAATTAACTTAGTAAAAAATGGAGTTCTGAAATTTCATCGGCCTCTGTGAGAACAATTCTACTCATTCTACGTAGGAATCATAAAAAAACGTTACAGTCTTCCCCAGTGGAAAATTACTTTCGCAAGGTAGGCCAACGATGCAAAATCATCGATAATCAATAGCTGGCCTGTATCATTAGTTCAAAATGCTATAAACTATTCTTAAGAAAAGATATAACGATGAAACGTGTAAAACGTGTGCAAATATTCAGTTAATGAAATTCATGATCCGAGAAGTACTTAGTGTAAGAAATGAGTGTTCGTACAGGCATCACTTACCAGACTTTTAACCACATATTGTATCTAACTATTACACCGAATGCTTTTCTACAATTCTAATAACAATAGTAATTCACCTAGTTCCTTCAAGTATATTAATTGATCCTCCTGTCCAGAGATGCATCGAGTCGTCCTGTGTCTACAGAAAATAAACATCCATATTGACGAATGATACACGCCATCTAATCAGAACATAAGCCTACCTGTAATAAAAAAAGCGTAATGAACAGTAGTAAATGCACTTGTATGAGATTAACGAATCTTCTCTTTGATAGCTTCAATCACAAAGCTTAACCCTATATACGTCCAATAAGCACTTATATATGTATTTGGCGCAAGACTCTAGTTTCTAAATATTAAGGTGCTATGAAAGGGTCATCCTACATATATAAAACGTCAAAAAATTGTAAAATTTTGTTTCAAACTGGGTGCACTAAATGTATCATTTGAAACTTCAGCACGTGATTATAGAGGTCATAAGGAAGAGCGTGGTACTCAAGAAATTTCATTTTTAATAAAAAATTTGTATTATGTATCTCAGACTAGAACCAAGAATACATTTTTTTTTTTTTATGAAATTTCACGAGCACCACATTCTTTCCTAGAACCTTCATAATCACATGCTGAAATTTCAAATGATCCGGTGCACCTAGTTTGATGAAAAATTTTATAGTTTGACGTTATATATATGTAGACCCTTTTATATCACCTTAAATCACGAGTCGTTACCCATTCCGACATTGTTAATCACTTTTTTGTCACTTATCCACATTAAAGACATATCTGAAAATGAAGCTATCAAATGCATGAATCTCAGGCATGTACAAATGTTACGATACCTGCTGTGACATCAACCGAGAAGTGCACTGCATCGTAATACCAGAAAATTTCGATAAGAGGAACAGGCATGCAAATTGCAGATCTCAGGATGGAAACAGATGTTGCATGGCAGTAACACTTTCACTTCTGAAACTACATTACGTCTTGAAAAATTGGCCCAGATGTAAAATTTTATTTCTTCTTTTCGTACATCACTTTTGTGTTCGAGTGCAGTAACGGCAATGTACAAAATGCTTCCATGCGTTATCACAGTGCCCAGCACTAGTCTTCGACAAGGAGCAGAAATGCTTATGTAGTAGCAATGGTGCGAACTGCAGATTCTTCAATTCCAAATGAGCGATTGTTATACATTGTACAATTCCAGTTGCGATATCTGATCAGTCAATGTATCTGCCTTTTTCCTTCCCTCCTATCTGCACCTTATAATTAGGTACGATATCATTCATTTATATAATAGTTATACAAATTTGGCTTATACAATTCACGTTCTTCTTTGAGAATCGTAAAAATTATCATCGTAGTTATACATGTCCGTTCTAGGTTTCGTACATGCTCTCTGTCTTACTCTGTCCTATTATCATATTAACTAAAACTTTTGATGCATAATTGTGATATATTTTGTGACAATAGTGCTAACAACATTTTTTCCTATGTTGTTTGGTACTTTTCCTTAGGTTAACCGTCTCATTTGTTTGTATGGCTTGCCGTTCTTTTCTCTCTTTCTTGGTACGCAAAACCTGACGTGTTATCGCCATAAACATCTAAAAAAAAAATGTCAGACGTTAACATGTATTTGGAACAATTTAATATGAGACAAATATGAAAGAATGATAAAAGAAAATTTAAAAAGTGCTACATTTCCCCATAATTAGTGCCAAAATAAATGTCTATAACGTTCTTTAATGCATCTTAATCTGGCGTGCTTGTAAAAAATAGCATTATCCAATTCTATGGTGACTTTACCTCTTCAACGTTAATGTTATCCTTAGCAGAAGTTTCAAATAATTGGATTCCCATTTGCGTGGCGAATCGTTGTGCATCTTCGGTTAGGACAACTTTACGGTTTGGAGCATCGTTCTTATTTCCTACTAAAACCCTGTTTACTACATCACAATTGTGCTCAATTTCATGTAGCCACCTTTTGACGTTTGCAAACGAATCACCACTAGTAACGTCATACACAACAATTACCCCATGCGTTCCTCTATAATAAGTGGAAGTTATCGTTCGAAAACGTTCCTGACCAGCTGTATCCCAAATTTGGAGTTTCACTCTTTCACCATCGATATCTATAGTTCGAATTTTAAAGTCCACACCTATCGTAGTTATATAACTCCCGTTGAAAGTATTGTCGGCAAATCGCAACAGCAACGAACTTTTACCTACTCCTGAAAAAAACGAACATAACACCACAATCATTGCTGAATATTTAAATGAATTCATGAAACCATTAAAATTTAATAAGAAAATAATATCATGTATTTTAGCAAAGCCATACATTATCCCTTAATTAGCATAAATAAATAAAGCTTCAAATAATAAAGAAACTAAAAAGACAACAAACAAAGACTACATATCTTCATATTAACAAACCACCATTATCTACTGCACGCTTTGTTGCCTAGGTTGGGATGAACACTAATAGTACACATCATCATAAACAGTATCAATACCAGTTGAAAAGAAAAAAAAAATATATTAGACTTGGAACTTCGCAACGTAAAGCTTATTTATACTCGTTGCCATAGGAAATGCAGTAAATTAATGGTCGCACCGCTTTGAAACGGATGTTTCAAAACAAATCAACTGAAAGGATTATACTCCAGCATATAAAATATATTTACCGCTATCTCCTATAATCAATAGCTTGAACAAATGATCGTATTCACGGGCCATGTTTACTCGGGATGCGGCGTCGCTGCATACAGTACAAACCGGGAGTAAATGATTTCCTCAATTGCCCGTAGTGGCACAATAAAAAAGCGGACATCAAATATCAACACATACTTTTCTTATATATCACCAGCAATCACGGGGAGATTTTTCGCCGTGAAACGAGGCGTATAAAACATACAGGCGCCGTCGGACGACGATCAAATAGGGGTCAGAAGATTGCAATACCTTTTCGATATTGTATCGCGATTCATTATCACTTTGGTGGAAAAATAACGCTTTTACTCGGCTAATATGACGCCCACCCTCAACTCGTGGCCACCGCCATGTTTCTTCTTGTCTAATCATTGACAAGATATTTTTCAAGATCGTGGACCGTAAGAGAACTTCTGTAACAAAGAAACACGATAGCGGCCATCTTGCTCCGTCGGAAACGGAGAGTAGGGCTGACTTACAATAACCGAAATAGCTAACCTAAACTAACCAATGAAATCCATTTCGAGAAAATAAAAAAAGACTAGGTAGTGTTTTTAAATTCTCGAGAATTTAAATTAGAGTAATATAACCGAGAATATTACGGTAATTTAAAAATACCTAGAGAATTTAAAAGAATTTCAGAGAGCTCGGGGAATTTATATTTAAATTAACAATTTATTACTTTCAATTCGTAATATTCATAAAGTCAAGATACATACTTATTAGCCGAAAATAATTTCTTTAACTTGTGATTCCATTTCAACTTGCGATGATTTTCTCTTTTTGTCGTTTGTTTTGCCACTCTTATTAACCTCAAGATACACATGAGGTTAAGAAATTAGGTTAGCTGATTAACAATGACTTGTCCAATTATTGGAAGTTCAGAAATTCTGGTATTAAAAGTTTAAAAAACTAAAATCTTCACAAATACAATTGAAAATTTTACGCAAAACTTTGTGTAATTGTATTTCAAGTCACTCATAGTTTATTAATATTATTGAATATTATTAATATTATTAAAAAAATGTTCACAAATTCCATAAATTTACAGAGAATTTAATCATTAGTTATGTTTTCAGTAATATAACTAGGGTAATATGACGCCCTAAAAACTTTAGGTCAGAGTCTAAACGCGTCACGCCACACGTGGAGAATAAAAAATCAATCAAAATTGCATTTAACTTTGTGTGTCACTTTTATAGCAGTTTTGATTGGTTTTTCGTTCTTGAAATGCGAAATTTCTGCCCCCCTTCTGTCGCTTCGATAAAATCTACCAATAATATTATTGGCTGTCGCTTGTCGCTCCAGTGTGAATCGGACCGAAACCGCCATTTTGAAATAGACAGGTAAATTACAGTGCTTTTCGGAACGCACCACTTAATTACATTCCGCACGTTATGACATGATTAATATTTACATGAATCTACATCCCTAACTTAACAATATGTATGCGCTCTGTTTAGTGTTTTTCACGTCTGGAGCTGAGTTAAAATTAAAGCGTTCTTTTTTCAAATGTGATTTACAGTGACGTCAACGAGTTGTGTTCTCAATTGAATGGAAGCTACAGATTTAATCCTTTCAATCGGTCGCGTTCCCGCCATTTTGATCTCCACTGAAGAATCTGCTTCTCGTATCTGGTATAAACAGGTTAGATATTTACAATTTACGCCGCTTTTGTCGATTCTCAAAACGAGTGCGGACGACAATGACGTGCGATCTGTTTTGTGAATCGGAATTGCAAGTTTTCTGGTTTTTATGCTGGCTTAATTCCTACAGACTTTTCTTTGATATGCTTATGATGAGCTCAAGATGTCACGTAAATTTGTTCGGTCAAAGAACTGTGTTTCGATTGTGGCAGGTGATTTCTATTAGAACCTGTATTTATATGAAACCGATTTGAAATTGTCGATTACTGTATAAATTCACAAACGCGTACGGTTATTTTGGAAATTTATACAAGCCTTCACTCGATGCAGACCATGGCCTATATTATTCTTATGTATTTCTGGTAATTTCTGTATTTTTCAATTAACAACTTTTTGGTTATGTTTACTTACAGGATCGTCATCGTGCAGCGACACGAGCTCGCTAAATAATACGGCGATTGTTCGTTGGAACTGTTTATAATGAATGCAAAAAATTTAGATTGGGCTTTGGTCGGCAATACGAAGAAACGTCCCATTTGGAAAGACAATGAAGTTATTACTCTTCTGAAACTAATACACAAGAACAATCTTTTCAAGAAGTTGCAAACTGACTCTCAAGTAAGTAAAACGCTACTCAAGTCTATGAAAGACTTGGGATATAACAGAACTGTGTTTCAAATTAAGATCAAGATTAAGAATTTAAGAAGGGTTTACGCACAGTATAAAAAACAGGGTATCCCAAATTCCTTAAAAGGTAATTCATTCTTTAGTCTGTTGATGAAAGTTTTTGAAGATACGAAGGACAAGATGGAAGAAATTAAATATGAGGTGAATAATAAGTCTAAAATATGGACTGAAAATGAAGTGAAAAAAATGTTGTCTATCATTAAGGAGTTTAATTTAACACAAGAGCTCTCCCTTAGTTCGTTTTCGCTACCTGCGTTGCATCGAGTTAGTGAGATGATGAGATGTAATGGTTTCTACAGACCGCTCGACGAAGTAAGAACGGTACTCAATTGTTTCAAGAAAGCTTACATTAAATCCCGTGATAACTCTTGCATCGACAAAGAGAAATTATGTCCTTACTACAATTGTTTGGATGAACTTTGGGGTTCTATGACTGAGACTTTTAATTCACCTGAAAAGAAGGAATCACCAGTGGTAAAAAGTGAAACTAGCTTTCAAAAAAGAGAACGAGGAGAATTCTGGTCAGAGGAGGAAACCATCGTATTATTGACTTGCATCAAAGAACTGGATGTGGTCGATGAAGCATTTAGAACTACTGAATATGCGACCACCAAGTTAAGCGAGGCATTAAAAGACAGCGGATACATGCGAACTAATTCACAAATTCGGAACAAACTAAAGAATCTGAAATCTAATTTCATCAATGAGAGACGCTCAAATTGCATGGAAGTTGCTATTAAAAAATTCCCTTTCTACCACTTATACGAAAGTATTTTCGGAGACAATTTTTCTAGCATAAACGATGGCTCGATGCCTGCAGCTTCCGAAGAAAACGAGAAAATGCAGGAGGAAACCTATCATTTAGTGCCAGAAAATGAATCAGATAAATCCATGGAAAGGAAAAAACACAACAGAAGTCCAGCATGGTCCGAGGAAGAAACGATCCTTCTTTTTGCCCTGATTCATGAGATGCACTTAGCCGAAGAGATTAGAGAACGACTCACGTTGGATGTTGCTTTGAAGTTGGTGAAGCCTATTGAAGAACATGGTTTTATTCGAACGGCTGAACAGATTAAAACAAAGCTTAAAAATCTTAGATCGGCTTATCATCGATGTATTCAACTGGGCGTAACTCCAAGTGCGCTTGCTGATTGCCCACACTTTAACAGACTTCACGTGGTCTTCGAGAGAATCATTCCTGGGAAAAAAGTAGAGATCGTACGCAAATTGCAGCCTGTAGATGACGATTACATGAGCATTATAGAACCTTCTGTGGACCATAGTTACGTTAATGTTCAAAGTGTAGATGAGATAGAAAAATTAGATTCTTCGACCAGACTGGAAAGGTCTAAGAGTCGCGATTTAGATAAAGAAGAATGGTGTCCTGTCGAAACAATTCTTGGTAAGTCTTAAGTAACAAACATATATTTGTTTAGCACAGCAGATATTCATTTTCTTGTTTCAATCCGATGAAACAATTTAGATGACGAGTGTTCGTCATCCTCTGTAAATGAAAAAGATGAAATCAGAGACGAGGGAGTAGACGACGAAGAACAAGATATACAGCAAGTAGAATTTGAAGAAGTCGACGACGGGGATGAGATTTACCTTTGCAAAGATTCAGAGTCACTTAACGACGAGACGTTTGAACCTGTAGAAAAGGACCAATCGCTGTTTGATGAGTAAGATAACAAACTTATGTGTAATACATTTTTAACAAATCATTTTTCATCCCTTGATGCAATCAATTTATTTTACAGACCCTTGGAAAATATGAAGCTACAAAAAATCCAAAAAGTGGAATCAACGGTTAATTACGAATCGGTGAATGATTCGCAATCACTGTATAAAGAGGAATCGTGTAATTTGCCTTCGCGAAATGAAATACGACAGATTGAACGCTCTCGAAGTGATTCATCATCCAGGGCTGCAAAGACTTCCAGACAATTGCACAATTCCTTCGATCCTTATCCTGCCCAAAGTAACAGTGTTCTCATGCAGACAAAAACAGTGAGAAGTATAATGACCGATGTTCTGAAGCATGAAAAGTGGTTGCAAGAGCAACATCAAACATGGATGGAAAAACAATTCGAAATCCAGAGAAAACACGATCGAGAACAGAGAGAATTATTCCTGAATGAATTAAAAGAGTTACGGCACGCCATCACTAGTACCATGTTTCGACGTGAATTTTTTCAAGACCAGTAAAAATAGCGCTTCTAATTCTGGTAATTCTTACTATTCAAGTTCCATTGCAAATATCTTTTATGAACATAATCTCATCACGATCTGTAACAGATTCGAGGAACTGTCACTCGAATCTCTTCAGAAAAACAATCCCCATATTTTATCTGCCATTAATTCAGAAGTGTTATTTAATATTTAGATATAATTTCTCGAGTTACTGCAATGCTGAATATTTTTTCTATAGTATCTGCGATGAAATGTGCAAACTGAGGTGTTACTTAAAGACGTGCACCATCACAGCTCATTTACCTGTCATTTTGTACATATACAAACCATTCGTGTACGCATATAATAAGTAAAAGTTGAATTAATGTTGAAAATGTGTACATTATGTGGTTTTTTAAAATGATTAAAGTTAAGCGAGAACAATTGTTGATGGTCCTTATTCTCCAAAGTACATGCACATCTCAAATAAAATCTCCAAATATTCGAATTTTAAATGTGACTAATTAAAAGATCATTTGTATGAAAATATAGCATATTTTTGAGTCACATATAGTGTATTTTCGAGTAAATGATTGAAGTTAAGCAGGAACAATAGTCGGTAGTCCTTATTTTCTAAAATACATCCACGTCATTACATCTTGAATAAAATCTGCAAATATAAAAATTTAAAATTGTGACCAATTAAAAGACAATTTGTATGAAAATATAATATATTTTCGAGCCACCTTATGTAATTTATGTTTGTAGTAAGTTAATGAAGCGGCCGACATTGCCGGCAGACCTTCGACGCTTCTTTATCGACGTGTCATCTTTTCTGGTAGCCGAATTCACAGGTTTTACTCGCTAAGTCTTTTGTCAGCAGTTAGGTACGATTATTTATACTTTTCGAAAGAAAATCATCCAACTACGGCCAGCAGAGAGAGAGAAAATTACCATGGATTGAATATGCTCTATTTACCGTTACGACTGATTGCTAACAAAAGTAAGTCGTTACGTGTCAATACACTTGCCAAGTGTATATTTCTTATAATGCCCTGAATTGTTGCATTCATGCAATATTCCCAAGTTTGCTAACAACTAGTTCTAGTAGGTCATGAAAATCTACAGTACATGGTAATTGTTAGGTTAGGTCAAGCCGTAAGAGCGATTCAAAGCAGCTTGTTTTAAAGTTCTTCCTTGACGTATGGAATAATGGAGGACGGTTGTAACGCATATGTATTTGTATGTACATAATAATAGTTTTAAGTGAATATAAGTGCATAATAAATGTGGTATTTTACATGTTAATTATACATTCGCAGTTACAGATACCACAGTGAAAGTCCACGATGTTGCAGCATCGATCTTATAGTCTACTTAGGTTTATTCGACGCAACATCAGTTGCTGTCATATCAATCAGTTCTATGTGCTTCAAATTGGGAACATACAAAGAAATACCGGTATCGTCATCGCTCCAAAGTTCCGATCGAGATGCAGGTTTCATGGGAGCTTCAATTCCTTCAGGATTTATGGGGATAAATACAAAGAAGACAATAAGGTTTTCACATGGGCGTCTGTTCTAATTGCCAGAACGGTATCGACCGATGCTAAGTCAAAGAAAGGTGAAACACAGAAAACTGATGATGATTCGGCGAAGAAAGAAAATACAGATGGACAGAGGATAATTGAATTGAAGGAAGAAAGGTTAGGTAAGCTCAAGGAGAGAGTACTGGATGTAGTTTCTGAGAAAGCTGACGACAAGATTGAAAAGACAAAGGAAAAGAAGGCTGAAAAGGAAAAGGGAATGGAGAAAAATGCAGTAAAAGAAGATTCAGCGAAAAAAGGTACTGCATATAAACTTACACTTATTTAAATTAATATTGTAATGAATCATCTGTTGTAATTATGCTTATAGTGCCACCAAAGAAGAGAATTAGGGTGGATCATTCGGCAGCTTCTTTAGAACGTAATTTTATCACTCCAATTAGAGCTATGTCAGATTTCTTGTTGAAGCCTTCGGATCTAGAATCATTACCAAAGACTAAAAGAAGATCTCCATACGAATATGAACCTCCTATTACGGTTTACTGGAGAAAAGACGTTGAAGCAAAGTAGGTATTTACGTTAACTAGGAGATTAATTTATTGACAGAAGTGCATGACATATATGATTCATTAAACAAGATGAAAAGACATTTTTTTTTCAGAGCTTTGGAAGTATGGGGCTCGAGGGAATCTTTATTGAAGGAGCTTCTCAAGAAAGAGCTGGAAAGGAAAATGTACCAACAAAGTAAATATCCCTTCATAAATCTGTCTTTACATCAGAGGAATTCATATTGATCATGAAATAGTTTACAGACATCTTTCATACTTACTTTTTATCGGAAGAGGGAAACTTTTTAAATTGTGCACCTATTTAAACAATTTATTAGGAGATGGCAAAATTTGTTGAGAAAATGTTAACAGATTAGTTTCAATAATGGATTTACTAGTTTATAGATAGCACCTTTACCTTTTGGCTACAGATGTTTTTACGGTTAAGAGAAGACTGAGGGATTACAGAAGGGAAATGGGTAACAAGGGAGAGACTATCGAGCAAGAAGGACTCTTCGGTAGATCTGGTCGAGTAGTTGTAACAGCGATTATAATGTAAGTGGGTAATTTTATTCTGAACTATACCCTATTTTATTCAATTTAGTCCAAGAATCTCAATCTCCTCAGATATAATGAAACGTCAGTAATATTACTGACTTGTTTTTCACAGATATAACAATTACATAATGTTATATTTTAATTTCCAGAAACGCTAGTAATTTCTTGTTCAAGCTCTTCGCTTGGGTCTATACAGGCTCTCACAGTATGTTCTCAGAGTGCATACATTCTGCAGCGGACACTTGTAACCAGCTAATCCTGGCTTACGGCATTCACAAATCTCTGCAGGTTTGAAGCAAATAACTTGAAATATTGCTATAGACCTAAGAACAAAAATAAACTATAAGGTTTTCAACTCGTTCTCTTCTTTACAGAATCCTAATCCAGATCATCCGTACGGTTACAGCAACATGAAATATGTTTCATCGTTGATATCTGGTGTAGGAATCTTCTGCGTGGGTACTGGTCTCTCATTCTATCACGGGATCCATGGTCTGCTTTTTCCAGAATCCGTAGACTCCTTTTATTGGGCGTATTTTATTTTGGGTGGCTCATTGGTGTCGGAAGGAGCCACGTTATTAGTGGCGATTAACTCCATTAAAAAGGGCGCCGAAGAGAAGAGGAAGAAATTCAAGGAATATGTCTTAACAGGGCAAGATCCTTCCGTCAATGTCGTCCTTATGGAAGATCTAGCAGCCGTGAGTTATTTTTCACTACATTTATACAATTATTATTAACTAACTAATAAATAAAAATATATACTATTAAAATAAGTTTTAATAATATATATTTTTATAGGTTATCGGAGTGGTCTTCGCTGCTTCTTGCATGGGTCTGACTTCGTATCTGGATAACCCCATGTTCGATGCAATTGGTTCCATTCTTGTGGGAGGTCTTCTTGGTGTCGTAGCATCATTTATAATTTATACTAACGTAGCGGCTCTAGTTGGCCGGAGCATTCCCCAGGAAAACTTGGATAAAATTAACGCAGAATTGGAGAGTGATATCATGGTGAGTCTCCTATAAAAAATGTGTATACAAATTGTATTGTTACTTTGTATTTTTCCTCCACTTTTTATATATTTGTCGGATTCTTTTAAACTTTTAGGTCAGAGCGATCCATGACGTTAAGGGAATCGACATGGGAAACAGTCTGGTGAGATACAAAGCTGAATTGGATTTTGATGGAAGAGAATTAACTAGGTCGTACCTTGATAAGCACGATCTAAATGCCATGCTGGAGGTTTACGCAGTTTTGATTTGTTTAAAGTAGTTTATTAATCATGTGATAAAAATGACAGAATGTAATGATCTTTTAGGAGGTGAGAAAAATGCAGAATATCGACGAGCTTGAGTCGTTTTTACTTAAGCACGGTGAAAACATTGTCGACATGCTTGGAGGTGAGATTGATCGAATAGAACTGAAATTGAAGGTAATTACGATTTTGGTATTTTTACAAGATGTCATTTTTCTGGTTTTGGTTTAAAAGTTCTGGTATTTTTAAAAGTTACATCCGTACAAATGTTAAGTATACAGGAACTAAAATTGAGGTTATGGTTCCAGAAAAATCACCCTGAGATTCGACACTGCGATTTGGAAATTCTGTAAACTGCCTACAGATCTGTTGAAATGTGAGAACTCAGAGGAGAGGAGCCTAACTAACAATTATATGAATTCAGTCGATGTACATACTACTTTTTAATTACATCTATGAAAATTTCTGTAGTTCATCAGGGAGTCTAAATGCCTTCGTACAGTGGTACTTAAACGCGTACTCGATTTACAGGAAGATTCACTTTAATAAAGCTGTATACGGATAATTTATTAAAGGAACAGCATTACTAAGTTTTAAGACTTGCATAATATTCTGCGAATAATTGTCATTAATGAACAACTGCTCACATTTAATTGATGACTATTCATGCGAACGATATAATTATCGAACAAGGTTGTAAAAATTCAATCGGAATACTTTACCAACGTGAATAAATTGATTTACCTTTATTCGAGCAGTATTTCATGATTTATTACGCTTTTCATAAATAATTCTCATTCACAAAAAAAAAAAAAAAACAGGTACGTTTACCATACACAGAAAGTAATTACAAGTATTTATAGATAAGTAAATATGTTGTTATGTTATGTTATTGCTTATGGCTCCAGAGTCTATCGAGCAGATTCTATTGATGCCAACTGATTTCCTGACAGGGTTCTATGCCCTGTTCCGTTTGTGCCTGGTTACTTTTGGAGGTTGGGTTGGTACTGTGTATCGCTACTGGGTATTAAATTTCTATGTTGTATTTTTTAGCTATTGCGACGAGGATTCTGAATATTTTTTCGTCGCCTGTTTTTATGATATGTCTAACATCCATGTTTATGTCTGGAGTTATTTTGCATAGTTTAAGAATAAGTTCATTAGTTCCATCCTGTGTGTTTGAGCAGTGGAAGAATAAATGATTTGGATTTTGTGTGAGGTGGCCACATTGACATTGCGAGGACGGTATTATACTTTTCCTGAATAAGTGAGCGTTGGTACATACGCGTGTGGCCTGATTTTAGTCGGTTAAGGTGATGTGAAAGGCGATAAGCAACTCCGAATCCGGCCCCTGGGTCTG